TTGGCCAGACAGCAGCACAAAATTGATGAGCTCCAGGTTCAAGAAGAGACCCTGTTTCAAAAACGATTAGTTGGGGAAAAATTGAGGAAGATATTCAATTTCAGCCTCTGGCCTCCATGAGCATGTGTGCACACATGCACAGACATGATCATGTACACATACATACATATACATACACACATATATATGTAAAGAACACTAAGGGGGGCGGTCAAGAAATGAGTTCTTGTATGTTAGTGAGGTCCTCCACAGTCTGAAGACTTATCTCCAGATTCCAGTTGGGAAAAGAACTCATAATTGGCAGGCAGATGGGACAGCAGAACCTGCCAGAGGGTTAAAATGTGACTTACAGAGTCCAGGGATGTTTGAGGTGAGGGTCACCACCCAGCACAGTAGAATTCACTCCTGACCCTTGTAGGGTGACCAGATGACAGCTGCTCACCTCAGGTCAAGCACGTCCATACAACCATCTAAGAAAGATTCTGGACCTGGCATCAGGCAAGTTGCTGGCTCCCTATTAAAGTGTACTTTACAAATAATTCACAAAAGAATATCCTCACCCTAAATCCCAATACAATAAAATAGAAAAATGACCTTTAAAATTCTCTATAAATGCACTTCACAAGGAATACATCAATGAATTAATGTAAAGTACAAAAATGAAGAGTTGTCTTACCAATGTTTCTTGGAAGCTTTGTTTTTGTTATAATTCCTTACACATTACCTGTGATAGATTTAAGATCCCATGTAAAATTTCAACAATTCACCATTTAAATGATGCCCACTCAAGAATCCTACTGGAATGGTCTCTCTGTCACATCCTGGATCTTCTGTATTTTATGATCTCTTGAACTTATCACCAACTGTAACTTTAAGGAGGGGAGCCATCTTCTGTGAGGGCAAAAGACATCGACCAGTGATAAAAAGGATGTAAACCTTGTAACTTTTTAGCTGGTCTGTATTCACAAAATAATCTTTATTCCCAAGATATGGAGGTCAAACTTTTTCCTACTTCTGGAATTAACGTATAATATTTGATTTTTCAAAATGAAGTATAATGAAAGAAGGAAATAGGAAGGAAGAGAGGGAGGGAGAGAGGGAGGGAGGGAAAAAAGGGAGGGAGGGAAGAAGGGGGAAGGAGGGAGGGAAAGGCAAGTCAGATATACATTTTTCATTTCCTAAGCTGTTTAAAATTATAAGATTATGAAATTCTTAAACAGACTACAAGCAAAAGCAACCTCATAATATTAAGCTTTGAAGAGAAACAAATTTTAAATCTAACCTTTGTGTCAAAAAGCACTTCTCTTCCTCAAGCTATAAGCTGTTTAGATTTCAAATATGAACTCGAGGCAGAATTCTAAAAGGCCTAACTGGCTTTGTTTTGGCCATCCTTTGGAATATGACATGAACTAGCTCATCTTTAAACTGTTGTAGATGTAGTTAAGATGTAACTATATACGAATTTAAATATGTTCACATTTTCCCTCCTCATGGTTCATATTTCTTTTCAACTGACAAATTTGTATTTAAAGTTATGACTTCTTAGTAGATTGAGCAAAAGGAAAGATCAGTAAGTCAATCTGTTGAGGTCATTTGACTAGATCTCATATTCAGTGATGGTAAATGGAGCACTCAGCAGTGCTGGTCAGTTACTCTGCTGGAGGAGGGAGGAATGTCCTTGTGAGTAGCAGACTGACAACACTCTTGAGACTAACCCAGGGTCCTCTGACTCACCATTTCTGTGTTTAGACTCTTTTGCCTACCCACCTCAACCCACACTTCTCTTAATCCAGCTGTACTGTGTCCAAATTTCTTCAATGCGTCATGCCCTTTCTAATTTGTTAACTATCAGTAACCATTCATACCAGTCCTTCCTCTTCTCATCACCTAACTAATGCTGACTCCTCATTCTTACTGAAGTCCCCATATGTAATAAACATAAAATTCCAAAACCTTCCCTCACTGTGGTACTGGCCACCTTTAAAAAACATATATTTAATTGAATTTTTGTGCATTTCATACAAAACATCCTAATTGTCTTTATACATCCTCCCCCATTCCAACCCCTGTAGCCCCCCCCACTGGATTTCATGCATTTTGCCTTTTTTTTTTTTTGGCTTGGGAGGACTGACAGTGAATACTGCAGCCCCGGTTTATTTCAGTTCCACCTTTTTATACAGAAGAACTCAATTAGTTTACAACTGCTGTATTTCCCTACCTGTATCTGAGGGCAAGGCTTCCTTGATCTTTTTGTTTACCACTATTGCCTCAAGGTCAGGTATTGTGAGGCTCTCCAGAAACACCTTCCTCCTGAATGAGCAGGTTAAGTACTGGTTTGCATGACACAAATTCAGTAAACAAGGCTGCCATGATCATGTTATATCCAGGAGAGAAGGACCATGCCTGTCTTTGGTTGTCTTCTGCTAGAGCAAAGCCTTACCTGTCATTGGCACACAGCTTCCATCAGCTACGCACTATCTTGGGTTGACTTTCTCCCAGAAGATCTTACCCATCTTTGACTGCTGGCCTCTGTTAGGGGAGGGAGCGCAATCTCATATCATGCACAGCTGCCTTGACTTGCCACAGGCATAAACAACTTTACTGCCACCAGATGAAAACAAAGACAGGAGGAAAAGCATGCAAGGAGGCTCTCAGCCTTTTTAGAATACCTGCCGCTGCTTACAGGGTGGAAATGTGGAGAAAAATTTTGTTTTTGTTTTTGTTTTTTTTCTCTTATCTCTTGGCAATAACACGTTGACATTGGTACAATTATGTTAAGGCCTATCATGTCAAATTTGTGTACCCTCATGTCCCTCAGTGCAAGTTAATCCTCTGACATCTAGTCAGCCTATCTATAGTCTCTCCCTTAAAGAAGATCAACTCTCCATCACCCAGCAGAAAGCAGCTGAAAATAGTTCTTCGGCTGAAGTTGGGGTCTGCTGCCCATTTCCGCAGTTCGGCTGGGTTTTTATCTGATTGAGTTTGCATGGGTCTTGTGCATGTTGTCACCATTGTAGTAAGTTCATATGAGCAAGTTCCAGAGGCCTAGAAGACTCTGTTTCCTTATGATTGTGCACCGACTCTGGCTCTTACAATCTTTCTGCCCCCTCTTTGACCACTTCTTTATTATTTTATTTATTTTTATGTGTATGAATGTATTGCCTGTATGTGTGTAAGTGCATCCTTGTTGTACAATGCCTGCAGAGGTCAGAAGAGGGTGTCGGATCCCCTGGAACAGTAGTTAGAGAGGTTGTTAGCTGTCATGTGGATGCTGGGAATTGAACCTGGGTCTTCTGCAAGAGCAGTCAGTGCTCTCAACTGCTGTGTCATCTCTTCAGCCCCATTGATCAGATTTCTTTTAGGGGACTTTTTTTTGCTACTATGGCAGGTTTAGAAAGATATTAGCATTCTCTGGTCTGGCCGGTCAGTTATACTGTGACTTAACGTCTGTCAAATTCTGGATCATATTGTTACTCTACTTTCTATGACTCTAGACCTGTTGAAAATGCAGCTCATATGTGGATCACTGTGAAAACTTTAGAGACTAATTGCACCAATTAGCTCAGATAAGTAAAGAATACATTTTCCCAATTGAGCTCTGGTAACAAGGCATGAGTTATGGTTAGTCAAATGTATTTAGCCCAGTTCCCTGTTCTGTGAAAAGCAAACAAGTCATTTTTCCATGGCGGAACTTGCATCATTATGCTCTACTAACTGCAGGGGACCACTCTGTGTGCTGTTGTCTAGAGATAAATCTACTCCCTGGCCAAGATGATCTTAACACTCCTCTCAGTTTCACTAGACCTCCTGATGGTAAGCACTGACTTCCTTTGGCTATGTACATTTACTTTGGTAACCCTGCAGTTCTAAGTTCTTTCATTGCCCCTTTGAGATGTAGCTCTCTCACAGCTTCCCACTTTTATAACCTTGGAATCTTTCTCTAGAGTATGGGAGCCATCCCTTTGAAATGTATTCCAAATTCTTGACTCCTAGTTTGGGAAACTATGTGACAATGTGTTTATAAGTGGCATGAAATGCACCCAGGGGACCTAATCACACTGCCTAACCTCCCCACTACTTCCCCAAAGTACTTTTCTGTTAGCTTTCCTTGGTACTTAAAAACCCTTTGCCTTTGTTTCAGCACAGTTGAATGCAATGCTTTTCACTTATCATAATAATTTTGAATAAAGTAAACTATAATGTATTCAATTCTTGGTATGATTTTTCACTGACACCCTCTTAGGCCTGGCTCACATGTACACTTTATTAAATTGGTACTATACCACCGACTGTAGATATCAGTGCTCTCAAAGACAACCATATTTTAAAACTTGCTCTGAGTGGATGTCAGTGACCTCTACTTAGTGAGGCCTAATCTTCTCATATTTAGGAGATTGCCTTCCATGAAGGCTATTATTTTGGAGTACCGTGAGAAAAATATTCTGGTCACTTCTATGGATGGCAAAGGAGAAGAACATCCCGGAAGCAGACACTGTGATTTCCAAGCTAAATCAACTTGTGATACTAGACAACCCATGCACATGTCTTGATTGTAATGTCACAACCTTGCAGAGTGCTTATTGTGAAGAATCTGATCTTGGGTTTCATTGTCTCTGGTGTGGACAGTGACAAGCTTTATGGTTTAGTGCTGTGAGCACTAGGTATGGGAACAAGATTGTCTGGATCCAGCACGACTTCAGCTAATTCCTGAAAATATTTTATCTCAGTGAAAGAGAATAGCACAGTATCTGACTAGTGAAGGCTTGGATTTAGTTGTGGTAATTGGTACTATCATCTCCATTATTGGCCCTTTCCTTACACGAATATATGAACAAGATCTTTTATTTTCACTGCTTTCTATCTAAGGCAGAATCACTGATAGGTACTTAGTGGTTTAAAGAAGACCTTAACTTTTCTGGATTGATTCTTTATACAAATTTCTGAACTTGATTTGTGAGAAGTGTATTTTCTCTTTCCACCCAATCTCTGCATTGTTTTAGTGACGGATGGGCAGACAGAGATGAAGTCATTGAAGGCTATGAGGTGGAAGCCAACGGGGGAATCACGATCAAGCTGCAGTCTCCAGAGGTCAGATCATTTGATGATTACTTCCTGAAGCTGAGGCTGGATACCAATACAAGGAATCCCTGGTTCCCTGAGTTCTGGCAACATCGCTTCCAGTGCCGTCTGCCGGGACACCTTCTGGAAAACCCCAACTTTAAAAGAATCTGCACAGGTAACTCACGTTGATAACATAACAGCTCCAAGCTTTGGTCATCTTTTCTTGCTCCATTGCAGGCTGTGAATAGCAATAAATGGTATTTGGGCTGGAGATCCAAAGGGGGAAACGGGATCTTAGTTTATAAAATAACTAGAATAAAGTAAACACATGTACTGCCATCCTGCTATGGATTTATGTTCCTGTATGTTAGGAAGACCATTTAGTCTATGGAGGAGCTGGTGACATAAAGAACCAATGCACGTAGATAGAAGCAAACAGGGAAGTCAGACATGTAGTATTTGAGCGAGGAGGAAAAGATCTTCTTACATGCTTAGGCCATCCTGGCCACAGATATATAGCCAAGAAACTTTGATCTATTATGTTCCTCTGTGATGGCTTCAATGCACAAGCCAGGGGAGGAAGTTTAGTATCATCCTAGGCCAGAAGGATGGCTGCCAGCTGGACAGGTGCTTCTCAGGCTCTGCTCACTTCAACCAAGCGAGGAAAGGGCAGCATGTGATGCCAAGGTGTTTGGGGCCCTGGTGGACTCCACAAGGTGATCTTTTCCTCCAGGAATTACCTTAACCCAGATGTCAAAACAGTGTAACTATTATGGGAATTATCATTCTCCATAGGACATTGCTGTCTCCTCTATTTTTCCCATGCTGTCTATGCTGTGAAGGTAGGTAGTTCATCTTTGCCCTGTCAGTGACAGTCCAAGGCAGCTGTTTATTCTAGGCTGGTACAGCATGAGATTTGCCCATAATGATGGAACCTAGACTCTGCCAAAGACCTCATCTTTTTTTGCAAAACAGAGTTGTGAATTTTCTTTCTAGACTGAGCAGATACTTAGAAAAGTCAAGAAACAACTGCTTATTCTTATCACATCCATGTATGGAACCTGTTCACAGAAGCAAACAGAACAGAGAAGGGCATAACCCATGACTTTTGACCCAGAAGACTATGTTCTCTTGGGACAAATCAGAGTGAAACAGATACACAACCCAAGACCTTGAGTTTTTACAAGGCAGGGTAAAAATAGTACTGATAACATAGAATAGTTTATTTTCAATTATATTCATATTTTTATGTAAGAAAACTTTATAGGAGCTGGAGCGATGGCTCAGAGGTTAAGAACACTGGTTGTTCTTGCAGAAGACCCGGGATCGAATCCCAGCACCCACATTATGGCTAACAACTGTCCATAACTCCAGTCACAGGGGATCCGACAGCCTCTTCTGTCCTCCACGGGCATTGCACAATATGGGTGCATTTACCAACATTCAGGCAAAACACACATACACATAAAATAAAATTAATAAATAAAATTTTAAAAAAGAAAACTTTATAATACCAACATATGTAAGTAAAGTAATATGTGTCTGACTTATTAATGGCTGACAGAGTTCTCTGGGGATACGTCTGCTGTGGATCTATTTTCAATCTAGGTTTTTAGACCATCTTCAATGTGGCTTTAAGGAGGCTGAGAAATATCAGTGTCTGAGAGGCAGGAAAAAGGGGATGGGCACTGAACAGCTAACCTGTCTCTGCCACATGTACATTTGCACTGATGTTTCCTTTCTGTAAAATAATAGACTCACAGAAGGTAAGAATTCCAAAAGACTAATACATCTACTTGGACCGTCTCCCTATTTACAATCCCAGGATGCTTAGGAAGACCAGCCTCAGGATTTCCCTAGGTTCCCAGAGTAAATGGAAGCAGTGGAAAGAGAGCCTTATCCTCCTGCCACCTGCACAGAGCCTGAGTCATTTTAGACTTAGCATTTTAATAGCCATCATTTCTCATTGTTCTCTGTTTCCTAAGAAGTGTTTTCTTAAACTGTAATATCCATGAAGACAGCTCTGGTATCTTTGGGCGCTTAGTTGATTCTTTTTAGCTAGTTAATCATTTAACTTGAGTTTTCATAGAGCATAGAAAGGCTGTTATTTTAACCAAAGAAAAGTATAAGGACTATAATTCTTGTTGTTGTTGTTGTTTGTTTGTTTGTTTTTGAGGTAGGGTCTCCCTGTAGCCCCAGCTGGCCTGGAACTTGCTATATAGACCAGGCTGGCCTCAATCTCGCATCTGATTGCCTTTGCCTCTGGAGAGCTGGGTTTAAAGGCGTGTGACGCCATGCCTGGCCCAGGACTACAATATTTTAAATGAACTATATTTCTTTCATTCAATGAATATTTAGTAAGCACCTATTATGTGTACGGCATCATTCAAGGATCATACAATTCTGTTTAAGGAAATAGACTCTAAAGGAAAAGAAGAGGGTGAGGAGGGAAGGAGGAGGGGTGAGGGGTACAGGAGGAGGAGAGGAGTATAGGTGGAGGAGGAGAAAAAGAGGAGGAGCAGAAGGAGGAGGGAGAAGAGAAGGGGAAGGAGGAGAAGGGAGAGAAGGACAGCATCAGCAGGAGAGGAATGTATGCTCACTATCATTTAATCACAATAGCTGTGGAGAAAGTTAGACCCACTGGACTAGAAGGACTGCTGTTTAGAAAGGATGAACAGAGACAGCTTCACGGAGGAGATGTCTAAGGCTGTGGAAGTGGTGAGTGCCAGCCATCCAACCATCAGGCAAGGGCTTTCCTAACAGAGGAAATGGCACTTGAGAAGAAGTACAAACATTGGCCTGGTAGGACAGTGATGGAATTGTGGGAGCAGTGAAAACAAAAGCACAGCAGGAAGGAGCAGGACTCACCGAAGGGAGCAGCAGGAAACCAGTGACAGTGCACTGGAGAGTCTGAGGGGCTGTGGCAGTGGTGGGAACATGGAGACAGATTCAGGGCTTAGGTGATTCTGAATGAGAGCTGAGTGGATTGGTTGGCAGATTCTCAAGAATGCCTCTGATTTGAGCAACTAGATGCCGCTGACCACAAACTGCAACGTAGGGAAAACTGACAGGTTTGGCTCATATAATAAAAGCCAATGAATTGTAGCTGTTGTATTTTGTCAGGTTACCCCACAAGTTACACAAAGCATTAACTGGCGAATTGCTTCCAAGTAATCACACAGATGATCAGACGTGCATTTACGGAGTCAGAAAAGATGAACACAGTGTAGAGCTGTGCTGATCAACAGGAGTTTCTACACTAATAGAAAGCTTTGCCTTTACTGTCCAGTATGGTAGGCACGAGCCATATGTGGCTCTTGATATATGACTGTGGCTTGTGAGGCTGAGGAGCAGAAAGTTTAGTTTCATGAAATTATTATCAGAGTTTCATCTCAATAACAATAATATTTGGAAAATTATAATGCCCAGATACAGTATGTCCTAGAACTTTTATTTTTCTAGCTAAACTTTGATACACATTTCCACAATGCAGTGTCCCAGCACTGCACAGTAAGACATGACTGTTCAATTTTGAGACTGTTTGGTTCAGCTACAAATAGATACCATTTCATCATCACCTCTGTGTACATCAGAATCCCTAAGTAGAACAGCTTTGCTGCCTTAGACCCAAATCTCTAAAATCTTTATGGTAGGAACTATAAAAATATTTGGCTTTGTTCCATGAGATTCAGGGTGTAATAATGTATCATTTCTCTCAGGAGAAGAAAAAAGACAGAGCATTCCAGCACTGGGTTGAGTTCTGTTCCTTAATTGAATTAATCTATTGTTCTGTGTAAGGGTCATGGATTTCAAGGTTACAAGGAACATTTATTAATTATCTACTATTACAATAAACCTGTGTAACAAGCCAGTTGCAAGGCTTGGTGGCTTAAATAACAATAATTTATTTATTTAATGAATCTATGAGTCACTTGGGAAGTTTATGCTCTGGGTTAGACATGGCTCATCTCCCTGGCCTGGGCTAGACTGTCCCCAGACTGACTGATCTAGGACATCCTCAACAGAAAGGTCATCTTGTTTTTGATTCATGCTATTTCTCTTTCCCTAGAGGCAGGCTCAGAAGGTATCATAGTATTGAGACAGGGTTCCAAGAAACAGAAATGAGAGTAGGTTAAGCCCCTGGAGGCCTACCTAAACTTAGAAGTAATACATCTAAGGTTAATTGAGATTTAAGAAATATAGAACTAGGCATGGTGGTTCATGCCTGTAATTCTAGCACTTGAAGGGAAGATATAGGAGGATCATGACTCAAGGATAGCCTTATTTCAAAGAGCATAGATACATGTGCACATAGAGAGGGGTGGACATGGATAACATGTTCTTTGAGCTCTAATTGATAGTTAACTTCTTGGTTGAAGAAAAACTATATTCTTCAGGAGTATCAATTGCCATTTGGGCCAAATTTCCAAATGTAAAAAGAGAAGCAGTCATAGCTTCAATGGTCTGAAGTAAATTATGATCCATCTCAGTTTATAGACCACATTGATTTGGATCAAACTGAATTGGACCAGTCTTATCTGACCTTACTTACATGGCAAGTTAATTCAAAGCAGAAGGCCTATAAAATTAGAGAATTAATAATAAAGCAATCATATTATTCAAACCAGTACCATGGGGCTGGAGAGATGGCTCAGTGATTAAGAGCACTAGCTGCTCTTGCGGATGACCTGGGTTTCATTCCCAGCACCTACATGGCAGCTCATAATCATCTATGTCTCCAGTTCCAGGGAATCCAACACCATTTTCTAGCCTCTATGGTCCCTGCACACATGTGGTTCTCTTACATACATGCAGGCGAAACAGCTGTATACATAAATCAAAACAATATATTTTTTTAAATCTTAAAACAAACAGTACCAGTCCAAAAACTAATGGCAATCTCCAAGCTACCATGGTACAATCCTGCTTATTTAAAGTTTTAAGAATTTATCTTACCAGATACCTTATTCTGTTTTCTACTACTACAAGAGAATATTACAAATAGCGTAAATTATAAATGATACGATTTCATTTGGCTCATGATTCTAGGGTCTGGGAAGTCTAAAATAGAGAGGTTACATGTGGTGCTCACCCTCTGAGCTACATCCTGCCATATGTGTTACAGGGTAAGGACAAACAGGCGGGACAGAGAATGGGGCTGAACTTAAAGGCTTT